GGGGGGGGGGGGTGTGAGACAGACGCTGGATCCAGACAGAACTGGCCCTAAATCTCAGCCACGCTGTTAACAAGATAATTAATACATTATTTCTGACTTAGTTTCCTTATGTCTAAAATGGAAGGGTTTCTGCGGAAATTAAAATGAAGATAATTCACATAATGTATTCATCCCAGTGCCTAGGGAACTAAGCAGCTACTTAAAAAATATAGCATTATGGTCTGACCATCATTATCATTTTCTGGAAGAGATTAGCTACGTGTCCCTAGTCCCTTCCAATCGACCCCTGAACCAAAACTGTGATTCCCGACCTAGCAAAGGAGAGCCCGGCTACCGCGACTAAGGCCAGAAAGCACACGTCCACAGCACACGACATGCCGAGCGAGCATACCATATCCCGCTGTAGACAGACCCAAGTGTCTCATTCTATTTTTCACAAGTTCAGCAAGCTCTTGTCGCTCTGACCTCCTGTAGAGGTTCAGTCGCTGCTGCGTTATTTTCTCAGCTGTTTTACCAGAGTGTCTGGGACCTTTCCTGCTCAGCCGGCGGGCCCACTGCATGCTCTTTCTCCTCAGCAGGGGGGGGTCCGGCTGCTCGCTGGCCGTCGAGTTGCGGTGGTTGGCCCGCTGGGGAGCCTGCTCCTTGCAGTCTTTGCTGCCTTCCCACTCTTCCACACTGATTGATATTTGAGACTTGAAAGGAAAGGGAGATTGAGAATTAGATATTTTAGGTACAGCTTCATCCTGGGCTTCTGTTAATACTTTTGCCAGTGTCGTGGGATAGTTATGTATCTCATGAGTTCTCACAGAAAGAGCAAAACCATAATCATTGGTGTTGATTTCCCATTACTGAAAACACTGCCAGAGAATATGTTCTCTTGAAATTATATATCAACCAAATGAAAATATCTGTGCATTCTCCAATAGAAGTTTTTATGAAAGGATTTAATTTTTACATATCAGAGTTATTTTATCAAACGACTGTTAACATGCAGCTGTTGGAAACCACAGACAAAAACCCTACTAGGTGTTTTATAACTTTATTCAAATAAAGTCCATGTAATGGATTCTTCTAAATCGACTCCCTATATTTCATATGAAATTTAAATAAAGATGATGAAACTTTTATTTTTGGAATTAACATTTTGAAGATTTTTAAGTTTTTGCTCTTTCTAAAGATGGAACTGGAATGTACTTTATAAAATGTGATTTTTTAAAAATTCCCTCCTTCGACCCAGAAGAAAACAGAAAAGCAGTTTTAAATTATAAATTCATGCATTAATTATTCACCGCGTCAAGTATTTTCTGATTAAAATACTAAAACAGGTTTCAGGAAGTGTTCGAAGCATCGCAAGTGAAAATAGGTTGTAAATATTAACATTTCACCAATGTAGTCTAGAATCACAAATAAAATTTAACCCGGGCGCTTGTCCAAAGGAGGGAAGAGCAGTGAACAAACTCATAAAGTCAACTTGATGGGCTCTCAGGACGAAACCTGAGGTCTAAGTGGGACGCTCTGCTGGGAGGACCGGCCCTTAATCAATGCGATCTTCCTGCTTTAACATTGTCGCTTTTCACACCAGGGAGTCTTGGGAATGGAACGCCCATCAAAGTGGAAAGTCTTGCTTTCCAAGGGCACTTGCGTGCAAACCAGCTTCCCGGCGACACTGAGGACACCTGCAGTGACAGCCACCTGCGCGCTGGCTCCCCTTCCACGGATGCGGTTTCAGCGGCAGCTGCAACATGCCTGTGTTGCTGGCTCTCAGAACAATAGAATTTAAATGACCAACATAAGTAAGGGCAGGGAGGAGGTCCAGTAAAATCCTTGAAAAGTGAATATAAATGATGGAGGCTCGGTCAATGCCTTACCTGCAAGACCTCGTGGCAGACAGGCTAGGGAATTATCTCACACTCAAATTCCAATAAAAAAATATATATTCATCTACCTTCTATTTGAAAACAGCACAGTATCTGAGTGATATAAAAAATGAGTTACTGAACCTTCCTCTCTTCATGATAAGAGAACATTTCATTGAAATGTTCTTAGGAGCCTTATTGTAGCCATCAGAATTTAAGCTGGACGTACTGAAGTTTTACTGCCATGGTTTTGCAGCAGTGGATACCAGCCCAAGTCGTAACTTCCTCTAGTCTCACCTGCTCCATACTCTCCTGGAAATTCTCCTCTTTGGGAGCCAAGTACAGGAACCCCTGAGTAATATCTACCGTCGGTATAGAATGTCAGTGTTTGTTCATTAGTTTCAGGTTATCTGAACTTTGCAGCAAAAATGAAAACATGTTCACTCGTAGCTAGCTGGGCGCCTGGCTGGCAGAGCTTTGCTCACCACAATCTCAAATTTATTTGCTGGGGTCTTTCTCATTGTAAGTCTCTGCAATAGTTTGATTTCCTACAAATATGTGGAAATAGTAATCTGGCCAGATCAAATACTCCAAATATTATGTTCGTATAATGTCACTTATAATTCAAGTCATGAAACCATAAGCTAGTGAATATTTTAAGGGAGAGATTTGCTTTTCTTCTGATTAGGGGTGGCTGCATCCATCAGGATAAATGTGAACTCTTGGGGTGTATTTTTTAATTTCAGAGAGAAGAGGGGGGATAGAGAAACGTCGATGCAAGGGAAACACTGGCTGCCTCCTGCACGCCCCCGACTGGGGATCAAGCCTGCAACCCGGGCATGTGCCCTGACCAGGAATCGAACCCTAACCTCCGGGTTCATGGGTCAGTGCTCAACTGCTGAGCCACAGAAGCCAGGCTGAACGCTGGGGTATTTTGATAGTTCCAAACCTCAGACGTAGCGAGCTTCTGAGACTCTGTCCTGTAGATGCCAATGGGAACGTCTCCACTGGACGAGCACAGCTTCTGATAGAGCCGGGCATACGTTCTGATCCATAAGTCATCCTCGGTGATTTTTATCTAGAACACACAGGAATTATCAGCTTCTTAAGAAATAAAAACCCAGTGGTTATTTTTTTCGCTTCTTAAAGGTAGAAATTGTTGATATTTTGAAATCTCAATGTGCCATTTCATAACGTGCTTATCTATGTGTTAAACTTATTTAATGCACCCCACTCAGCCTTATCCCCGGGGTTCACCTGTCCCTAAGAAACCAGATATTCAAATTTGTGGCCATATGGCTTTGGGTTAGTTCAATATCAGGAGACAGAGGTCACTGGTCATTGACTGGGAGTTGTTGGAAAACCCATGGAGACTGTTTCAAATGGTGTAATAACTAGAGGTTGCTACTGGAGTTTAGTGAACAGGGTCTGCTGATGCTAAAAATCTACAAGTGCAAAGGACAGGCCAGCACAAGAAAAGAATCGTCCACCCAAAGTTCCACTGACGCTGTGCTGAGAAAGATGTTGGCAGGATGAGCACAGGGCTGCAGACAGGAGGCACACGTGCTAGTCCCTCTTTGCTAATCCTAAATTTCAGTTGTTAGCAAGTCACTTCATTAAACACATGTAGGCATAATACACCCTTTTACAAACAATTACAAATCAATTGAACTGCATGATGCCTGTTCGTCCACAGTAGGGTGTCCTGTGTCAGAAACTGTCTCAAATGGCCAACTGGGGGAAAACACCTGCTCTGAATTCTGTACAGAGTGGCTATTTATCATGATTATTAATTTAAAATAGAAGAGTAAGCCTAAGTACATTACAGATGGATTTCAGACCATTTATCAGAATAATCTTTTATTCCAAAAATGATTAACTTACAGAACAAAGGAAGCCTGAGCCTGGGATAGTGTCCAATCCCAGCAGAAGTCTGGTGATAGAAATCATATAATCCTTTACAAATGACTGCAATGCAAAGAAAATTATGAAAAGTGTAGAATATCCATGAGTGTGAACATTATATTACTACTAAGAGGGTGTTTCTTGTAACACATCATTAAGCCTCCATAAAACAGGAAATAAAAATCTGTCTTGTGAGTGTCCTACATACACATGTCCAGTTAAGCTGCCCATGAGGAAATATGTAGATAATTATCCTCTGGAATATCTTGATAGGCTTAAATTTTTTACATGCTGTTAGACATAAAAACATTTTTAGGATTTAATAACAAAAATGAATTGATATAAAATAGCTTTTATTTTTAGTCTAGTAATATGTAGCAACATGCAACATGTATTAAAATATCACGGTAAACATTGTAGGACCCTCGTGCTAAAGAATGCCTAAAAATTATTTCAGAGGTTATTCTGAAAAATCATCTTTTTCTTACAAAATATTTCATTAAACTTTATGTCATTAAATACATGAAATAAAATATTGAATTACTGCCCAGCCGGCATGGTTCAGTGGTTGAGCATCGACCTGTGAACCAGGAGGTCACAGTTCCATTCCCGGTCAGAGCACATGATCCCCAGTAGGGGGCGTGTGGGAGGCAGCCCATCAATGACTCTTATCATTGATGTTTCTCTCTCTCTCCCTCTCCCTTCCTCTCTCTGAAATCATTAAAAACATATTTAAAAATATATATTGAATTACTTACAGAGCCAATTTCCAGTTAACAGCTCCATGAGAAACACTAGGTACATTATTTATTTAATAAACTCCAAGTGAAGTAGAAAGTGAACGTTCTGGAGAGGAAAGAAGCGCAGTCGCATACCTGGTAGAGAAGCGTATCCAGCATGCTGATGCTGAACACCCTCCCGGCAGCAAAAGGCAGGCGGAACATGAAGGCCAGGTTAGAGCCGCGCTCTCGCTCCTTCTGTCCGGAGATGTGAGACAGAAACGTCTGTGAGCGGGCTGTAGTTTACATTTTTCTGCCTCGTTAAGTCTTCCTGACAATACTCGAAGGACGTATTTTTGCTTAGCTAGGCACCTGTCCTTATGTCATGAATAATTATATTTTGAATAAAGACCCAAGTAATTGGCTCATTGTCAGTGCCTGGTAAATATTTATTGGCTTGAGTTTAAACCCAGGTTATATAAAAATTTGCCATGTTGCTTTTACATAGTGAATATATTTTTTAAAATAACAACTTTTGTAGTCTCGCCTGTTTCTCCCACTTTCATCATTTTGCTCTACCGTTCGCTACGAAGTGATACATGGTTTACAGACACTACTGTTTGATTTCTGACACCAATTCTCCATCGTTAACCAGGTGACCTCAATTCAATTCAACTCAATTCCATTCAATTCCATTCCATTCCACTCAATTCAATTCAATTCAGTTCAATTCTGACACTAAGTGCCCAGAGTTCAGACAGTCCCAGGAGATTGCTCCTGTGTCTCTTGCCTTCTCCAAGCCAACTGCTCTCCCCTGGGGCTTCCCACACACCCACCAGGCTCACTGAACTCGTGAAAGTGCCCCAGTTAATAACGGTCACTGGATTGTGAAGAGCGCAGTAGCCAGCAGATGCAAAGTTGCATCTGGGCTCGGCTGGGAGGGCCCCGGGCACAGGAGCTTCTGCGCGACTTTCTCCTCTTATGTCAGCACGTTTGCCGAGCAGGACAATCTCCAATCCTCGCTCTTCTGAGCTTTTATTGAAGTCTCACCACGTAGGCGTAATTAATGAATGAAATCATTAGCCACGGGGTTGCGCTCAGTCTCCAGCCCTGCTCCCTTCCTAGAGCTGGGCGTGGGGCGAGGGGCTGAACGTTTCAATCTCCCAATCACGGGGGGTTCTGGCAGCCAGCCTCGGGGCTCAGCTCTCTCAGGCCACCACCCCCCCCC